TTGGACATAGTAAAAACCAAGGGTTCGAAATTTCGGCGTTTATCTCAGTGAACAAAAGAGTAATCGGCATGGAAGCATGACAGTTAGAAAGAGGAGAAAAAGTTGCGTTGGTTAATGCTTAGAGCGTTTCCCTATCTTTGTTCCACGTATTTTTATGATAGGTTGAAAAAACGGACAAAACTTTCGGGACAACCTAATAAAAGCCATCTTGTAGAGCTTGCCTTGCTCTATCAAAAATATCCCTTACCCTTTGTTGGGTTGAGTCTGTTTGCTTTGTTAAAGCAAGCAAATTAAAATTTTCTTGACAACCTAATAGATCTTTGTCTTCGATTTTTATACTCGGGCAGAAAATATTGGATGGTTGAAAAATAAGTTTGTTTTGGCATGCAAATCTTTATGAAAAAAATTCCTGTTGTTTTCTTTCCACTATTCTTTATGGGAAAACAGTTTGAAGCCTCCTCTACCTAATATCCAATGCTCGGGATTTACAATTAGTAACGGCAGCTCTGCCTCAACATGACTAAATTTCCAATAGCTCACTTCTTTAAATTCCTAAGCTTCGTCATCATGCTGCAATGGATATAGAGGACAGCAGTTTAGTATGTGGATAAAGAGGAGTTTCCCCTATTTAGTAGGTAACAATGAAAATTGCGATCTGCTACTTTTTCACCGAAAAAAAAGTTTCCTCATATTTCTGCATTATAAAAAGATTGAGGTTTCTGACTTCATTGCAAATTTCTCTCTGTAGGATATAATTCTTAAAACTTAAACAAAAGTCATATTCCAATTTCCATTAAAGTGCTTTTTCCAGAAATTTCAAATACTGGGCACATCTTTGTCTGCAGCATTTGTAAGAGCCGCAAAAGCGACCGAACCCATTTATTAGCCAACTTAAAATAGACCGTCAAATATCTTCGATCTGTAGGAAAAATTTTTGCAAGAAATCTTTTGTCTAAAAGTTACTAACTCTACAAACTATCCAAGTACCCGCAGGACCAAAGTTTGCAAGCGGCAATGTTCTCGCGGCAGAAGTGGAACTTTTTAATGTCTTCGATTTTCGTCTAAAAAATCAAAGCGAAAGATTTGTGTTAGAGTGACCGATCCTACAAAGTATTCAGGCAATTTTTCCCGCGAGACCAAAGCTTTGAAGCGGCAGAGTTTAAGGCGCAAAGGTAGAATATTTCCAATGTCTTCGATTTTCATGCTCGAAGCAAAAAATAGAATGTCAAATATCTTCGATCTGTAAGAAAAATTGTTGCGAGAAATGTTTTGTGTGAAAGTGACTAACCCTACAAACTGTTCATGTACCGCGGGACCAATTCAGATAATCGCCGGGGATAGGCGGCCATGCAATTTCTGGGCAAGCAGGCACCGGAAAAAATAGTCCGCAGATTTATCGCGGTCCGCTTGCAGATTTTCAAAAGAATGTTGGACGATTCTTGGACGAGCACTCGAAGAATAATGGGCCTTTTCACAAATTAGTGGCGGCGCAGTGGCCGCATTCTCGCGGACTTTCCGCGAGAATATGCAAAATATTCGCGAGCCGCATGGTCCTTTGTAGGACCGCACAGCCAACAGGTACCTTCCGCCGAGAGAAGGTACCCCAAACTCGGGTAATTAAACCATCGATGACGCCTCTGCCATATAGAGTCTTACATTTGCTCGGCGTACGCCCGAAACATCGTAGAAATAGTCCGAGTGCTCGCTGGATTAATGGCCATCGCTCGCTGAGAGAAATTATTTGACGAGCGCCTGGAGAAAACTCTGTATTGCTTCCCGCTTGCAGAACATGCGACAGTAAAGGAAGTACCGCCCGCTGAAGGTTTGGCCACTTCTCAAAATTCTGATGAGCGCCTGCAAAAAAGCGTGAGTTTGTGGACCGCCTGCCCCCCGCGGTTATCTGAGTAAATGGATATTCTCAGCAAGTCTCTTGCAGATTGTTGCGAAAATATCCTCTGAAATGTCCCGCCATAAAATTCGTTCAGCCGTCCAATAATACCAATACCAGTGCTTGCTCGCCACTTTTATTTATAGTAAAAATTAACATTCACCTGTAAATGCACCCGAGCATCAAATTTTTTTAATGAAGACAATGAAAACAAATAGAAGTATTCTTTGTTTTGAGGATGTGTCCTGAAAATTTTTTAGCTTTTCAGTTTGACCGAAACTTGTCATAAATGCTCTCAATCTTAAAGGCGAATCTGTGCAATTAGCATTTGCTTTGATATTTTAGTTAAAACAGCAAAGGATAAAGTGAGAACCGTTTTATCTCTCGTTTTGACAGCTTCTCAAATTGCGAAGGCTACTTGTACAAAATTTTCTTGCATCTTACTTGAATAATATGTCAAATAAACGCCACTAGAGTCATCCCAGAAAATCGCAGCCGTCTTGACCCCTGATGTATGACCATCCTGTTGTGGTGATGTTCAGAGCATGCATGTGGCTCGGTTTGCAAAGATCAACTATGATGAGTCAGCTCTTGGCGTGATCAACGGTCTAGACATGTAAATTGGCTGACTCAGTCCCAATGTTACTATGAAGAGCAAGCGCCATGAGTCAGAGCCATCGTGATTGACCGTTTATTTTGGCGCTATTCCAAGGATCAGTTAACAGCAGTTCGCCATTTTCTCAACGTTTTTGAGGAGCCTTATACACTTATACATCAATCGAAGTGCGTTTAACTCTACTAAAATCAAACATGTATATGGTCTGACAAGGATTTTTTAGCAAAAAAGTTTGTAATACGATCCAGTGGCGGCGTGTTTGGTGGAAAAAATGCTCAACAACAGCACAGCTCAGTAAAAGTTACAAAAGTTTGATTGCGAGATAATCGTGTACCAGAATTGCAGTATGAAGCTGTGCTGGTTTATGAGTATTATATTATATCAAAAAGCTTCACCTTTTATTAAATTGACATGAGGAGCAGAATCAAGTGGCTTATGGAGTTGTCTGTGAGGCCAATAAACAGAAGCATCATGTGTTCTTGCTAATAAGATAAGTTTTGGGACTATTGTGAGCACCATGAACCATAGTTGTGATAATTTGCGTCAAGTTTTATCAAAAATCCTTGACTCAAAGTCTTGATCAGAAACAGGCTATTCCTAGGAACATTCATTTAAGACCTAATCATCAAAAATAGATGTTCCTTTGTTACGATGAAGGAAAAATGCGTCAACGGCACAGCCCACCAAAAATCTGGCCAAATTTTGTAAACAAAATGATTTTGTAAGAAAGGCGTATAAGTAAGTTAGATTGCTGACTATTTGTATGCCAGATCAAAAGGCTTCAGTTCCCCAAAAGTGGTAGAAATAGGAATTAACACAAATGAGTTTGAAATAATTTGAAAAGGCAAAAAACAAAAGTATTTGCGGAGCTTTGGATGCGCATGATGCAATGCAACAAGAAAAGCGTAAGCAGTGGTTGGGGCTGAAGTATTAGCATCATTGCACATTTTGCTACATACAACGGAAAAGTGTTCGATATCCTTTTCTCCTTGAGGCTGAGCTTTTGGAACGAACGCCAGCACTGTGTGTCTGTACACAGCTGCGAATGCGCATCCAGCGAGACCACGCCCCCAGAATTCTTTACGGTCAAGCTCGCTCCTAACTTCGTGCTTTCCTACTTCCGTAAGTACCGCCCACCGAAACCGATGAGTTTCTGAAATATCGAAATTTCCGATAAACCCCAAATTTCCACCTGTGGTTCATCGCAAATTTCATGATTCCAAAACATCATTTGTTTTCATCAACAACATGCTTAGCATGGTCTAAATATGCAATACAACTTTGGAACGTTTTTATTGACTTTAAAGAAAGAAAAACTGGCTTCAGAAAGTAAACGGTCCCCCGGGGATCATTAGGGGATCACATTAAAAGCTAAAAAATACGGCTTATGCAGCTTCTCGCTTTTGTTCAACATGTTCATAGTGGAGGATGGTGGGAATACTTACTGATAGGTAGACAGCGTGAAATCCAGATATCTGGAGCTTTATGATAGTTTTTCAAGCTGCGAACCCATCCCCAGCGGGGATGTTAATGCTTGCGGCCCTAAAAGAGGAAGAAAAGCTTATTCCACATGTTTTTATGGTAAGTTTGGAAAACAACGCGTACTTCTGAACCAACTAATATGAATTGAACCGAAAGTTTTGTCGCACCATTATTAAAAAAGCATAACTTTTTTGCTGTATCAAGATTTTGGAATGGGTTTAACGTACAGAGTGTACCTTTTTTTGTAACGGTCACTTAGTTTGCTATTGAAAGAAAATGTTAGAGATACAAGTAATTGAAGGAAACTACTTGAGTTGAGCAATTCTGAGCAAGTGAAAATATTGAAAGATAGCAGAATAAACAAAAAACTGCACAATATTCTTTTTACACAGTGTCAACTCGCATCAAAGGGATTAAAGACAAGCGTTTGGTGGCTGGAATACGGCTGAGAGCAAACTTTTTGCATTTCATTTATGAGTTCGATACATGCCCGAAGTTCTGCAGGCAGGCAGCATAGTCTGCACTAATCTCACGTTATTCCCATTGGGTGAAAAACAGAACTTCAACAAGCAGCAAGCAAACGCTGCCAGAAAATGCTTTTTTAGAGGTTAAATACGTCAAAGACGACTGTGAATGCCTGCAAATGGCGCTTAATATGCAAAAAAGTTCGTTCTCCATTTTCAAAGCATTATTTCGCCTATAATGGCAGGACTTAAGCATTGTACAATGCCACAAACGCGAATTGGCAACTTTTAGCACCTGTGAACGGCTCAGAATTAAATCAGCATTCAAATCTTGCTGAACGATATGCACCTCATACCAAACGGCTGCGGATTGAGGTAAAGGAACATATAGGAATATAGGAACATATAATTATAGTTCGCACTCTTTTAGAATATCGGAGTGTAGTTTCCTAAAACGTGCAATACTGTGCGGACGGAACACTGTGATTTTATTTAACAGGCGGCAAGTTTCCTTATTTTATGCGTAAACCAGGTTAAATAGTCAACTCACCTGTAAGCTATTGAAGACAACATTCATCCAAGCAAACACCTCCCAGAAGGGGGTGTAAAGTATCCACAAGAAATAGAATAAGTGTGTGACACCTAATAGGCACAATAGTGTGGCAGATCTCTATAATAAACTAGGAGCAAATTTAATTAAGATGAATATAGCACACCTTTAGCCACCGGAACATTTTGTCTTTCCTGCTACGTTCACGAGTATTTAACGCTGAAAGCACTCTCAGTGCAATAACAAGGATGATTACATTTGCCTGCAGCAAAGGAAAATGAGTATACTGATAGTGATGTGCAAAGAACAAATCTCAATACCAAAGCAATTATAAAAACTGGTACCAAGAGAGCCATATATGCTTCTGTTGACACGTTCTCCCGAGAGCAGCTAAACATAGAATGATTGCAATGTTCAAAGATCGATAAAATAAATGATGATTTACTCTTGAGCATGTTCATAGCCCTCCCAACTGAATATCACACCTACAACGACGGCTGGAAAACCATACGAAAATAAATAGTATGGTAAGATACGTGTTATGTTGGAATCAAACACCTGAAAATGAGATATCCGACAAGTAAAGTGCTTGTCGTAACTCACTTGGACCAACGACAAGTACAGCTGATAGCCTTCTATCAGCATCCAGCAGAACACTGCTATATCAGAGTAAGGGTCCAGCATCACCACTATTGTACAATATACACGATTCTCAATGGGAATTAATCCTCAAAAAACCACGCATTTAAGCAAATGGTTACAAACAACATGATACGCTCGGACAAAGCTTGGGAAGATACTAGTTGGTTGCAACGAAAGTATCGCCGCACCATTTTCGGAAAATTTTAGCTTCTAATTTTCTCAATCAATTTTATATATTTTTTGAGAGGAAGCGAGGAAGAAAGTGACTTAGCGGCTTTCTGCTGAGCCTACATTTCATGTAGAAGCGTTACAAGAAAATAACTTTTTAGTTTGGTCGTAAAAGTTTGAAATTGGCAAAAAAACCGAGAAGCCAGTATTATAGGTTTTATTAGTTGCCCTTCTAACTAGACAAGATTCGTGTTAATGTACATTTCTACGAAAAATAAAACAATCAAGCGATTATTACAAAACAGCAATTTCGACTCTTGGCTCTCAAATTTGGGCCAATTGAACCTTTATTAAGATTAACAAGTAACAAAATGCGCAAACGTGCTAAACTAGATCTTACAACTACTCTAAGTGGCAGTACAGGGTAACTAGCTGTTAAGGCAAATTATAACTACTTAGTGATGGCGTAGTGCGGAGAACCTATCGTGCAATGAGTGGTGCAGAAAAAAGGCTAAACTAATGACAAGCAAATAAGGACAGTAATCATCTCTAACCGCTAGCTAATATACGAGTACATAAACATATACATCAAATACATAAACGTATTACAAAGAATGTCTGTGAAACAAACCTTGTTTTCATTATAACTATCACGCGCATTAGCTGTCTGTGATTCTGTGATTCTATGATTCTGTGATCCGCGGTTGGCTCTCCGCATTCGTGTGAAGATACTGACTCATAAGTCAATATAACTTTTTATAGAAAGGCTCAATCAGCACAAGCTTTGCATACTTAGGAATGGCAGGTAATAGAAGCTACGATACAGACTTCAACTATTGCTTATAGGTTATAACAGCCAAACTCACGAAAATCAAAACTTGAGTAGTCTTCTACCGCTTCTATCTGTGATATGCTCAGCAGAAATATTTAATTCAGATTGCTGCTTCATTTTTGCTTCAAAGATGTCGAAGACCTCAAACCTCGAATCATACCGCTTTCGGCGTAGATTTCTCCTAGTCTCTCTGGTATAGGCAGTAACTCGGGAAAAGTGCAACTGCGTGCTTTCTGTTCCTCCTTGGCTTTCTAGATGCGTTTAGACAGAGCTGTGCTTGAAAAGTAAAAAAAACACTTTTTATGGCGTTCCCTAGCCGGAAATTGCTATGGAGGCTGGAGTGAAGATTCCCGCAGCCAAGTCGCGATTGGCTACCTGGGCCAATCAGCCAACCGCTGCCAAAACAGATGTGTTGCAGTCTCCTGGGAAGACGGCCCTTCTGAACCGTTAGCATTAGCAGCCTAACTACTGCTAGCCTCTGATTGGTCGGCGCTACCGCAGCGCTTGGGTAGGCGAGAGCTATGCTGTCGTTAGAACGTTTGAATTAGACGGCAAAGGCATTGATTCTCATGATAAAAGAATCAAACAAGATTTCGACTTTCCTATGAGACTCGAATGTTATAAGTGGGCGACTTAAGTAAATTCTTCAGCTTACACGTGCAGCAGCCTTCATGGTGCTTTGTAAACTGGGAAGGGCGGGGAAATCACGAAATTCAAAAAAACATGCAACTTTTCCAACTTTTTATCTTTAAATTCAAAGATCGGCCTATCATTATTCGTGTGCCTCGCTTGCTTTGGAATGCTCAGAAATATTTGAAAGTCTGCTAGATTATAAAAAAGGCTGATTATAGCGCCGCCCCGGGCAGAGTAATTAGCGCTAGAAGGGGCGGTTCAGAAGGGCATACACCCAGGCTCCTGCAGCAACTCCTGTTTTTGGTAGAAATCGCCGCTCCAGCCTCCTCAGCAATCTCCAAGGCCGAAGAACGCCATAAAAAGCTTTTTTTTGATTTTTCAATCACAGCTCTGGTCTAATCGCGTTTTCTCTCCTTGGTCCAGAAGGCCAAGGAGTAAAGAAAACGCGCATTGCGAATTTTGCGAACCCTGCTTTCAAGAGTCAAACGTGCGCGGGTTTCCACTACAATCTGCACATGTCTAAGTGAGGTCCCCTACGTATAAAGAGAAAATTTATCCAAAAGGACAGGTTTGTTGTCAAGCTAAGGCAGTATACACGTACATCCCCGCGGGGAGGGGATGTGCGTTTTACTATTGGAAAGATCCCCGCTGGGGTTCCCCTCCCCTCCCCAGGCAAACCCCCGTATGCGCGCAGACAATATCGGCGAAGGGATCCCCTGTGGGGAGGGGAAGCGAACCCCCTTATGCACAAGAGGGGATCGAGCGGGGAGATCACCTTGCTTTCAGATTTTCCATGAAAAACACTTCTTTATTTTCATTTTTTGACTGCAACTCATCTTATCTCCTCAATTTCAATAATTTAGCGTTGCGAAATGCGCGTATGCCGTGACTGTGCTCGACGCACCAAGAATGATCTTTTCTACTCCCATTATGTTCCTGCTTTGAAAGATGCTACCCACTTTCGTTCATGCTGCCTCATTTCAGCGTAAAGATTTCAAACAATAGAAGTCAAGATGTCTTTGCAGAGGAATGGGTAGAAGACATTATGCTGCCGAAAAGGGGGGGGGGATGCCGCGCGAACACTCGGAGCAGTATTTTAACACATAACAGAAGCCGCAAATCGTTTCAGCTTTCCACGAAGGCTGCAGCTGTTAGCGATATATCTTCCATTACCTCAGGGGAATGATCCCCAACGGTCATCCCTACTATGCACGAGGGGAACACTGGGGAGGGGATCTCCACTCAGAAATAGACAAATCTGCTAATTTCTGCTTTTTTCGAAGCAGTTTATGTCAGGATGTCAAGATAAGGGCAACATAACATATGATATTATAGTTACAATGTGTTTGATCAGCCTACATGGACAAAACTATCTTTCATATAAAAACTGCGAAAATCTCGGGAATGACCAAAATCCCCTTCAGATGTTCGAAATTGGCAGATATATGCTCGGGTCTCTTCGCTAGAAGCGAAAATAGAAGAGAGAGGTAAAATTGCAAACTACAAGTCGCTGAGAGAGGAAACTGGCTTTCAAAGAAACTTCTTTGTCGAATTGAACGAAACGCTTTTGTAATGACTGATTGAAACCAGAATAAATTCACTTTTCTGACATGACTTACATTGTCGAACCCCTACTCCGTTGTAGGGGATGTCGATCCCCTTCCCCTGCGTTTTTGAGTTAGATTCATGCATGCATTTTGTGCATTCTGTTCTAAAGGTCATTCTAGTACACAAGAATTGACCAAAAATAACTTTCGGCAAGTTCTTGTGGTAGCCGTGAGGTAGAAAGAACTACCGCTATCATACCATCCCTGCTGTAAGTGCAGGGGAAGGGATCGCTTCCCTCCTCTCTGTCATAGCAGGGTTCAGTAGAGGGGATCGTCCCCCTGGGGATCCAGCTCCCCTCCTCCCCAGTTCACGCAACTGCTCGATAAAATTGTCGTATTCCGTACCAATCAAAGTCAAAAGATTGTAAACAAGCAGACTGAAGCACAGGTTGCAATGAATAGTATTTCGTACACTGTTGAGAGATCTAAAATGTGTTTTGCAATATTTTGCGATGATTGAATCAGTTGAACATACCTGAAGAATGTGAACACAAACAGCGAAAATGCTAAGCACACAGCAGATAGTGCACGACCGATGGTATCGGCAACAAAAATTACTGTAAGATCGTCATCCACTAAATCATCCATCAAAAGGGCGAAACAACTGTAAACAGTTAGACCGAGTGTTGCTCGTAATCGTAGCGTATCTTGACAGAACATGTCGTGCATGTGCTCCATTAAATCTAGAGAGGTTTCTCGTCGCAAAAATTCACCTTGAATTTGCCTTTGCATCATTTTCATAAGATTCTTTTACTACTGGCTGAAGGTTACAAAAAATGATTCCAATTTAGAGTGCATTTTTTATGTTCGAATGTGAAATGATTTGAAAATGGCAGAAGAACAGGAAACCTAGTTCCACAGCGTTCATTCGGAACGCAGTATTGGTGATGAGACTCCGTTGAGGTAGAAGTCTATGACTCTCAAGCCTGCTGATTAGTTCACTTTCACTGAGAAGAATAGCTAATAACGAAATGGCCAAAAGTCGAAGTGGCAATCCAAACAAGTTGCGTACTATTGAATGCAGTATGGATCGCTGGCTTCAAATCTGCCTTTCAAATCTGCTATGCTAAACGCCTTTGTAGAGAAATGAGCAATAAATGAGCGGTAATGAGCAATACATGAGCAGTATTGTAAGGAGTGATATTTAGAAGTTGCAAAATTAGACACTTAATGCCTTTTTAGCTCACCTTTTGAGTATGGATTATATAAATTATATATGAAGTAACTTAGCCGCGTGTTTTTGCTCATCATTATGTCAAAGACGGATCTGTATTTCCAATTCTTGGCGGCGTGGCATCATACTACAAAGACCTCGCCGCCAAAGCTCGCCGCCATAGTTGG